AAAATCTTTCAAATGCGACTGTAGCTTTTTTTTTTCCAAAAACTTCAAAATAAGGGTGCGTCTTATATTCCGAAAAATACGGTAATAATGTCATTAAGTACGTTTTTTTTTTGGTGGCATCACACTACCCATGAAACACCAAAATATGCTACTATGCAGACTTTATAGCTGCTGTAGTTGCCACGGAATCCCCCCCCCCCGACCCCACAACTAGGAGATAAATAAAACAAATAACTTAAAATTGGTTAGTATATTTTTTTGTAATTAAGCACAAAATTATACAACAGGCTATCTATGCAATGCCTACAACGGGTATTGAAACAAGAGATTTAGCATTATGCGCCCACCCACTTACCGCTGAGTCACTGGGGGCCTCAGAAACCGGACTTTTAATTAGAAACTTGTGTTTGCAACTGTATTACTATGACAACATACATTTTTGTTGTTACAAACAAACTTGTCATTTTTATCAGTTTTTATTAACACATTTTTACAGTTTGTTCTTCCATAAATGTTTGCTCGGCAATTTAATACAAAAAAAATCATTGTCATTACTTTATGTTTATTATAAATATTAGAATTAGTATTCTGTTTATTACCTATCTATCGTAGGTTGCTTTATAAAAGCACAATATAATTCGTAGTTCGTTATGAAGGAATTTACATGCTGTTTGTTTATGTTGAACACCACAAATGCATATTAACGACATGGATCCTAAACTATTCAGCCATGAAACTTTGATTGGTTCTTTAATTCATACCAATGGCTGATTCCGAAAATATTTTTTATTCATAAATCATTATTTAAAGTTTTCTTACCGCTTAAATAAGCAAAATAATATGACCTGAAGAGTAATAATTTTATCGAACATGATTTTTATGTACTGAATGCTACTTTTTGTATTGCTCTTTTTAACAATTCATTTCTAATTTGGCTTATTTTACATTCAAATATCCGAATCGTTATTAATTTATAGAACACGTGGGTTTAACAAAATTCTGTTCTGAGGACCACCATTCTCCTGTACAAAATAGCCCCAGGTCTTTAATCTGGTTATCATGTGACTTACTAGTTTGAATATTCAAAAATGGTTTGTTTGTTTGAAGTTAAGCATAAAGCTACACAATGAGCTATCTGTGCTCTGCCCACCACGGTATCGAAACCCGGTTTCTAGCGTTGTAAGTCTGCAAACATGCCGCTGTGCCACTGAGGGGGGGGGGGGGTACAAAACAGTTAGATACTCAACACTGTATCAAAATTATATTGTTAGTGTTTTGTAATGTTATTTATCTTGTGTTCTTGCTGGATAAAGATTGTAATGTTTAATAATGTAATGAGCCTAATACTAATGTATAATAATAAGTACAATTGTAATCATTCTTCACCAGCTTGTAAAACGTGTTTGATATAGATTATCTCATTTTATTTTACTTTCACTCGTAAGATCTTTTAATAAATAGTCAATAAGTAATTTAATTTCACTTTATTCACGTTGTATGTCGTTCAGCCCAATTTCCAAGACAGTTCTAATCTTCAAGCAATTTGTTCAGTCTTGTGACATTAAAACACCCTCTAACCAATAACAAAACAATGCGAACGTCAAATCTAATAAAAAAAAATCCTGAAACACTGCCCCTCTCTTGATTATAAAGTCCTTTGAACACGAGAAAAACAAACAGTGCAATGTTAAACTTCTATAAACAATAAAACAAATTTTGACAGTTAATGACATTGATATTCTTATATAAAACGCAGGTATAAGTTTTATAATGTAGTTAGGTTTTTATTTATTTATTTATTTCATTTTTGTTGCTTTTTATACTCACGTCCATCATATCAAAATGACACTTGATTTTCCATCACAAACATTTTTGAAATGTATTTGAATCTGTAATGAATTTTCAACCTGAGAAAGATCTTAGTATTTTGCCGTATTGTTATATGTTATATTGAATGGGATCTATTTGCTTATCAAGCTTTGCTTTGTTTAATTTTCTTTAAATTATCCTGTGAAAACTACATATATAAAGATATATAAGGCATAATATTCCCAATTTTCTTCAACCTCGCTTAACTTTATTACTACATATTTACTACCACTCGCTTATGGCAAGGCTTTATACTCACAAATTTAGTAGTGTTGCGTCAGCGAGGTCACGTGACTAGTATCACGCCACTCCTTCTCTCGAACCTTCGTGAATTATCGGGAGATTACTAGATTGGGGGTAGTCTGGTGTATATAAGATGGTCACAACGTGACGGGAACAGTGCAGTGTAATGAGTAATTGAATGTATGCGGACAAAATATTGTTGGCCACGTGAGATATAGCGTTTGTTATAGCGCGACTGTTGAAATTAAGTGTATCGTAAAGTTGTATTCGGAAAGAATAAACCAGTTTTATTAAGAAAGGACTTGTGTCGCTAAAGTTTCGTTGGAACGAAGTTACGGAAAATCAACTAACGACTGGAGGCGTAACAGTAGCTTTGAAGTGATAGTCAGAAGAATAGTTTCACTACAGTTGTTGGAGAAAGTAGTGTTTTATCTAGAATTTATTCATTTGCGTGAGCAGTCAAACAGGATATTACTACTAATAATCTCAAAGTGGGTTCCTCGTCACCGAATGAGGATATTACTACGTTGGCAGAAATTAGATTCAAACACTTATCTAAATCGCGCAGAATAAAACGGATATAACTTGAACCCTTCATTTTCTAGCAGTCCAGATCGCCTCTTCCCTCAGTGGCTCAACGGTAAATATAGAGGTTTATTACGTTAAAATCCAGGTGGGCACAGCTCAGATAGCCCATTGTGTAGCTTTACGCGTAACAACAATTAAACGAAAGCAATCCAGACAGGTGAAATATTATGTATCTAGTTATAATTCGTAAGACATAGAACAGATGGCGTTATCCAACGGTTTAATTTTTTTTATGGCATCAAATATTAGATTACTTTGTTAATGTTATTCTACGCTTTTCGTATTTTTACTCAGGAGTTTAAAAGTATAGCCAATTAATAAGCAACAAGGAAAAAGGTTTGGAAACGTTAAGGTTAAAATCTAAGTATTAACCTTATTCTATATGTATTTTTATATTACTTCAAAGCCAAATCTGTATCTTAACTTATCAAAAGAAGATAAAAATGTTCCAGGTCCAGATAAAACTAAAAGAAACGAAGTA